AATTCACCTTTGACGAGAATCAAACCTAAATCCTCTCACTTACAAGTAAAGAAGAATACTATTAGACCGTAGTACTAAGTCGCGCTATAAGTGCTTTCTAAAAAAGTATTTTCAACCGACTCTAACCAGTGCCTTCTTGAAAAGAAATTCATAAAATAAAGTTGGGCCTATTCTTTTGGCCGATGTAGCCCAAGTCAAGTTGTATTTATCTGCCGGAGGAAGAAGAACAGAGCTTGACCTGATTCGGGTCCATCTTTTTGAAATATGGGTTTTCTTTTCCACCCGTTTCTTCGGAGGACTCTTTCTTTTTGGTCTCAATCTAATCTTGACCGTCCAATCGAATCCAACGGTTAAAAAGTGAACGCAGCGAGAGAACTAACCTCTCTGCATTTCTTCACGGCAGAACACAAACATTCACATTGGATACAATCTCTGCTTCCTAGTCTTCTCCGAAATCCTCAGGTGTTAATCTACTTCATGTCGCTCTTTCCCCTCAGGTCAGTGATCAATCTTTCCTGAATTTTCGTTTACCATTCGAACAATTTTTACTTTTTTACCGGAGTAAATAGTAAAAACTGTTTCATGAACTCTTGCAATGTTCATAAAGCTCCATCCTTTAACATTTTCCAAGAGAATCCCCAGCTGGGTCTGCTCGAATGCATATTTTTCTGCATCTTCCTGCGCAAAAACAATCGAAATTTTCTCGGGAAACAATCAGGACCCAGAATATTCATCCGACGTTGAACAAAATATCCAGTCTTTGAGGAATAAGCTTGTCCCGGATAACTTAATCCGGGTTCTGGATAACACTGATGATTTGAGCTCAGCAGTGAAGGTGTTCAAATGGGCTTCCCTGCAAAAACGGTTTAATCACACCGCCGATACGTATTTTCGGATTGTTTTGAAACTGGGTTTGGCTGGAAATGTTGAGGAGATGGAGGGGTTTTGTCAAAATATGGTGAAAGATCGGTGTCCGGGTGCCGAAGAGGCGCTTTTGGCCCTGATTGATGTGTTTGTTAGTCATTGCAGGTTAAGTGAGGCAATTAGGGTGCTTGTGAATTTGAAAGCAGGTGGCTTTAGGCCTTCAATAGAGATATTTAATGGTCTGTTGGGTGCTCTTGTGAAAGATAAGAGAGATTTTCGAGATGTCTTGTTTGTGTATAAGGAGATTGTGACGGCAGGAATCGTGCCAACAGTTGATACTTTGAATTATTTGTTAGAGGCATTGGTGGAGGCCAACCGCATTGAGTCTGCTCTGGATCAGTATAGAAGAATGAAGAAGAAAAGGTGTAGTCCTAATAGTAGGAGTTTTGAGATTCTATTAAAAGCCCTTATAGCGGAAGACCGAGTGGATGAGGCTGTTATTGTTTTGAATGAAATGGTTGATCTTGGTTGTCAGCCTGATTTGAGTTTTTATTCCTTCATAATACCTTTGTTTTGTCAGGAAAATAAACCGGATGAGGGAATTAGATTGTTCGAAATGATGAGAGCTTCAAATTTTACGCCGGATTCATTGGTTTATGAGGTTCTGTTGCAGTCTTTATGCAAGAACCTTAGATTAGATGATGCGATAAAGGTTTTAGAAGAAATGATGGAAACTGGATTGACACCACCAAATAATGTCTTTGTGGATGTAGTATATGTGTTTTGTAAATTAGGGAAGGTAGACAACGCAATGAAATTCTTGGAGGATAAGAAAATCATGGAAACTTCTGCCTGCAATGTCCTGCTTGAAGGTTTCTGCAGTGTAGGTAAATTTCTTGTGGCGGAAGATCTACTAGTGGAAATGTCCGAAAGGAATGTGGCTAGTTGTAATTCTTGGAATATTGTTATCAGATGGCTGAGCAAGAATGGAAGGATTAGGGAAGTGATGGAACTTCTAGGTAGAATGGTGGTTTCTTCTTTTCTTCCAGACTGTGACACATACTCCGCTCTGGTCGTTTGCCACTGCAAAATGAGCAACTATAGAAATGCTCTGGATATATTTCATCAGGCTCGTGCCAAAAGTTGGGTTTTGGATCGTACATCTTACTCTGAGCTTGTCAAAGGCCTTTGCCTAGAAGAAATGACTCATGAGGCTACTGAAGTGTTCTGTTACATGTCTAGTAATAGATGTTTCATCGAGCCTTCCTCATTCAATATGTTGATCAAGGGTTTGTGTGAGACGGGAAAGGTTGATGAAGCAATAAGGATGCAACAATTGGCCTATTATTCCGGTACTTCTTCTACCAGTTCAACGTACTCAACTATTATGCTTGGATTGTCAAAATTAGACAAGGTAAAAGATCTGTTGGTAGTTTTCTCAAAAATGCTGGTGGAAGGTTGCAATCTTGATTTGGATGCATTCTGCGTGCTCATACAAACCATGAGCTTGCAGAATCGAGTAAAAGAATGCGTATTGCTTTTTGATATGGTGGTCGATGGGGGTCTTATACCTGATTCAGAGAGACTATTAAATCTACTCTCCTGCATAGCCAACCATTCTCAGTTGCACATGATTTCAGGTTCAATAAATAAACTTATTTCTGATAGTGAAGTTCTAAATTCAGCAATTTACAATGTACTGATTAACGGATTCTGGAAAGAGGGTTATAAACACGAGGCCTGTCAATTTTTGGATTTAATGTTGGAAAAGGGTTGGGTCCCAGATGCTAGGACTCATGGATTGCTGATTGGGTCTGTTGTTGGCGAAGTAGATAGGAACAGGTTGGACTATGATAATTGCACTGTCCAAGATAGTGTTAGCAACATCCTTGCAGAGGGATTAGATGATGTAACATGATAGAAACTTCCATCACAATAATCGTTTTATGACCCGTTGGCTGCTGAGCTACTTTGGTGAACTGATCTTTTTGCCTCCGATGATCTCTGTTGAAGGTTTTGTCTCCATAATCACTCACACTGAGCCGTTTGTAGCTGTGGTGCTTGCATATATTGTGCAATGGATAAGGGGATATGATTGTTGCCTACTATGTTCGATAGTTTTGTTCACCTTCACCGGGGTTCATGGATCTCTTCTACATATTCAAACCCTTTACCACCCCAAGAAAGGTACTTTCTTACACCATTATGTTTCTATAGATTCAAACAAAATTGTTTCTTATGAAAATTCTGTGGCGGTTATATTCTGTATGCTCAGAATTAACTTTAAAAGTGACATGTTTCAGCCAAATTGTTCGAGCAAGAGGAAAGACAGAAGGTAGAGCAGTGATGTCCTATTTGAACTAACTCCTGGGGAAGTTCTGTGTAATCAGAAGTTGAAGCCAGTTTAAATTTAGAAGAATCCCAAGTCAGAACCAGACACCAGTACTGAAGTTTTTCCCCGAGACATCTTCGGACTTGACTTCTGCAGTACTTTTCTTGCGGGAAAACTGTACAAGGATGTAATGAGAGGCAGAGGGGTGAAGGCTTGGATCGAAGTGGTTGTAGGTACTTTTCCTCCTTGTTTTCCTTTCTGTACTACAAATTCAAACTGATGATTTAGCTGGCGGTGTGGAAACTTCTAGCGGCAGGGACATGTTTGAAGAGCCTCTGCCCAGTATAGAGTGCCTCGAAATCTCAGGGAAAGCTTTTCCGGGACAAGAACTTGTAGTGTGCAGATACGGTGTTAATGGAACAACCGTATGCTTTTTTGATTTGGGATGCTATGTTGACGACGGATCTGTTTCTTATATTGATGGCGCAAAGAGTCCAAATTATATTGTTTCTGCTGCTGATGTTGATACGTACCTTGGTGTTGAAGTCCAGCCTATGGATGATAGGGATCGCCGGGAAAAGGTTGTTACTGCGGCCTTAGCTAATGACTACAAGGTCACTTATGAAAAGAAGGGTAAAACAAGATTATCCTTCTCTCTTTTTTTCTTTCTTTTAAAGTAGAATATCGCTTGTTTCAAAGAGACAAAAGTCGGCTCAATGATTTAAGGGTCAAATATGTGTTTCATCCGTGCTCTTCGTTGGTTTAGTTAGATGAATTTTGATTAGTTGTTCCCAATAATACCAGTCTTACCAGAGTTTGCTTAGAAATAGCTGACAGGGGAAAGAAGGTTAACACCAAACCAAATGCAGTGAAGTTCACTTATTTTTCTCTTCTTTGTTGTTGAAATGAAAACAAGAGGAAACCCTAAACAAGACTAAGAAACAAGTTGTAATATCTAAAGGAATCCGATGACGAGAGGGATGAAGTCCTCCGCAACATGATAGTGATCGGAGTCTCCCTTGTGGTTATTGCCGCGGTTGTGGTGATTGTTGTGGGTGGTGTAAAGAACCCCGATGAGGCCACAGCGCTTGATCCAAAGCCAAGGAACAACTCTGGCATTGATCTTAGTCTTGACACCGTCTGTGGCAAAACTGATCACGGCCGGGACTTTGCCAGTCTACTCTCGGTCCCATTGGCAACGATTCAGACTCGGGTGCTGTAAACTATTTTACGGCCTCCATCGACGCAACCCTAACGGTAATGAAAAATGTACAAAATGGTGCGGTTGAAGAGTGCATGGGGTTGATAGACTTCGGTATCAAGCAACTTGAGTTTTTGCTAGCCGTTCGATCAGAAAACTACTTGTTGGGAAGCAAGTCAGGTAATGTTAGGAATGGTCTGGATGCTGTGATCTCGTACCAACAAAAATGCCTTGAGCAGTTGCCTTCTAAACAATTCAGATGATGGGTTGTTAAGCAAGCTTTGGAGAAGGCCATTGAGGTTGCAAGAAATGCCTGGGGCATAATCTATGAGTACCCTGCAAGGCATAATAGGGCTTCCATCTAACCTCTAGGTTAGACTACATACGTACCCGAAGACGGGATCACCCCACCAAGGCACCAACCACTCCACCACCACCACCACCACCACCACCAATGCCGCTCATCCCCAAGGGTTGGCACGTTTACGAGCTAAAGTGGTCTCTGGGACCGATGCTCAGCTTCGACCTGTGCTCCTGTAATGGCTTTGGACATGGAGGGAGGCGGCGATCTTGGCCGTGCAAAGGCAAGTAAAAGGGAATATCTTCAAACTAAACGCTCAACGTCTTCGTATAAATGAATTAAACATTGGCCAGCTGACCAAAAGGATAATTTACAAGACAAAAAGACCAAACCTACAAAATGATTGGATGCCAAATTCCAATTCCAACTTCCATGGCACCTTCAACTTCAAGTAACTCTAACAACATCCGCCACCTAATACCTTAGTAAATTAACGTAAATCACATTCATTTACCAAAGTTAAACTACCAAATATCCTGGTTAGCAATACAACTATGAAAACGAAGAATAATTTACATAAGCATGTCTACTAACACATACATTCGGGAACACATCCCACTATCTATTTGAGCTGCTTCTAGTACAGATGATGCCCTTGCCATCGCCCTCTCGGATGCAATCCTATTCACAGAACCAATATAAAAAGTCCGTCAATTATTAAGGTATGCTCGAAAAAATAACGCAACATGTCTGCCCAAAATACATTGACGAAACAAATAAAAAGATGCAAAATCTCATAGGCATCGGGGGAACTCTATTTTATAGAATCTAAATGTGCTGCTAGCGCAAGTTCATACAGATGACAAGACTATACAATGAAGCCACACCTAACTTACAATGCACTTGAACTTGAATACCAATCCACAGGTATACTCATCAATAAACCAGTGAAAACATGGATGAAATGAAACAACGGGGGTTTCTACTAAAGGTTGATACTTACCCGGCATCTAATACTCTACAATCACTCTTTACAAGTGGACTTGTTGTGCCCAAGACCCTTGCATCTGCTGCACTGGAGTTGACGCTTAGCCATATCTTGTGATCCATATTTCTTAGTAGTAGGCCTGCCTGGTGGACGCCGGGTGGGTGGAGGCGTTACAGTCACTAGTACTTGAGAAGAAGCCTTCGTCACAGGCATGTCTACATTTGGAACAGGATATATTGGTTCTGAGTATGTCAATCTATAGCTCTCAGTGGTAAAGTATCTTGAACAATAATCATATGGGCTCCTGCCCATGCAACGAATGACAGCAATTGCATGACAGCATGGTAAACCAGTTATCTGCCACCCTCTACAACTACAGTCCCAGCGATCAACATCAACAACTTCAGTGGTGTCACCATGAACCTCAAATCTGCTACCAGTCAACAATAGCACTTGGAGGTTTCCGATGTTCTGAGTTTCCTTTTCTAGCTTTTCCTCCATGGTTGGAGTAAGCCTTGTCAACCATTCATTAGATCCTTCCCTTCTTGTGTAGATCAACTCCATAATCTTACCCCTGATCACATCAACCATCTGTGTTATTGGTAACTCGTGTGCATCTGATGCCCAACTATAGAACAGCTCACCAAAGTTGGATGTCATATGGTTATATCTAGCACCTTGAAAGAATGAATTCGCCCACTTCTGGGGCTCACTTTGTATGATCCAATTGTAAGCCTCCAATGAGATGCTTTTTATGCTTTCAAGACAACTTTGGAAGTTTTCAGGCCTATGTGCATAAGCAGCACCATAAAAATCCTCAATCATCAGCCGCTTGACCTCATGAGAAAACTGCCCTTTCAAGTCCCTGATAAGTTGCTCGGTCAAATATCGCAGGCAATAGCCATGATATGAGTCTTTAAATATTTCCGCAATTGATTCCTTCAATCCCTTCTGTCTGTCTGCCACAAATGTCACAGGACAAGATATTGACAATGCAGATTTCAACTGTAGTAAAAACCAATGCCAATTATCATCAGTTTCTGCATCCACCACAGTGAAAGCAACAGGGAATACCCCATCATCCCCGTCAGCAGCTGTTGCAGCCAACAATGTGCCTTGATATTTTGATTTTAAGGGAATGCTATCCAGGAAAAGGAGAGGCCTGCAACCTTGCTGGAAACCATACAATGAGGCATGGAATGCGACAAAGAGGCGATGGAAACTGGAGTCTTCCTTGGTGGTAAAAGTAGCAAGACTACCAGGGTTTGTCTCCATTATCCTGTCACAGAAAAATGGTAATTGATTATATGCCTCTTTGTACGAACCCTGAAGCTGCTCCTTTGCTATTTCTTTCCCACGCCAGGCCTGGAAGTAGTTTAGCTGTATACCATATTCCTGCTTGATATCGTTCACAATATCCTTGGGCTTATAGTTGGGCATATATTTTAACTTCTCCTTGATAATACTGGCCACCCAACTCCTCGTCGCCTGATGCCCTGTAGTTGCAACAGCACCTTCACAGGAATGTGTTGGATTCATTTTCTTGATACATATTAACTGAGTTGTCGACAACCTTGATGCATGAATTCTCCAAGGGCAGCCTTCAGCCTTGCACTTCACAGTCACACGATGACTATCATTCTTCTTATACCTAAAGGCGAACTGATGCGCAATGGCATATTTGCGCAATGATTCACGAAATTCATGAACGCTGCTGAATCTTTGGCCCACACCCGTAATAGCATTCTGCCACTGGTGTGCACCTTTAGCATGCTTCTCACCACTAGGGCCAACAAGAGGAAAAATGGGTGATATTTCGGTGGGTATATCAATATGTGCATCAATAGGGCTGGCACCATCGACAACATCAAGAGAAGCATCAAGTGGGATATCAGGCTGAGTGGTATCACCCACAAAGTCCACGACATCAAGAGATGCATCAACTGGAACCACAGTTTCTGACAGAGTTGTTCTGCTCGACCTGAAAAATCCATGAAATTCATAAGTCTCACAAAAAGAGAATTTTTTTTTTTGAAGTGGTATCTAAACTACTAGCTTACATATCAAGAGAACTACCTACTGGGAGGCATGTTCGAGACATCAGGAGGAGCTACTTCCTCCATGACATAAATATCAATGGTTGCAAAATCACCATGGAATTTGATCATGCGCTGGAGATCCTTGTCATTGGAAACAGTAATCAGGGTCTTCTTGTTGCCAGGGAGGAAGTACTTGATGACCATGTTATTGTAGCTGCAACCAAACATTTCTGTGACCTCCAATTTAAACTCATCAAACTTCATCTGGTCATCAATGTCAATAGCATGAGCATCTTTGCCCCTATATGACAATGTACCATCTTTCTCTGTAAAGAATTCACCCCCCGACTGACAAATTGCTATGACTCTCTTCACCTCCATGATCTGCCCCAGTCATAGCAAATCGGTAAGCGACATATGTTATATACAGTGCATTTTATCAGTCAACTGTACACAAATTTCATAAACAGCATAGACCCTCTCTCACCAGACCTCATTTCACTTCACATTACAGCAATCCGTGGGAATTTACCAGCGTAAACTCAAGATTTCACTGCAATGCAATTTCGTTGAGCTTAAAATCAATACGCACTAAACATAAGCTCTCAGACTTTAACTTCTAGTTAGATTTTTCAAACTGATTATGTCATATTTATTTCTTAGATTTTTCAAACTGATTATGTCATATTTATTTCTCAAGAAAACCACAGAGTAAATTAGTCGAACCCACAAAGGGCTTGTAGCTAAGTTGGTTAAAAGTATTCACCACTGCACCAAAGCTCCCAAGTTCCATTTCCCCCCTCCCCCAAAATCACTCGTATCAAAACTAGTCGAACCCAACTGCTCCAAATGCAAGCAATATTTTCAATACAAATACATTATTTACTCTAGTCTCTGAGGTCCCAAGCAGCAAAGGATTAAGCTTAAGCTTTGTTGCAAGTGCAAACTCACTCAGCAACTTTCAGACACCCTCAAAGGGGTTCAACAATAAACGAAAAAAAAAAAAGCAAATGGGTACCAAAATTTCGATCAAAACAAACGAAAATAACACCAAAAATTCAGACTTTTAAGTAAAAAATTCAATCCTGCAAAAGGCTACTCTGAAAACCCTAATTTCCCCAATACCAACACATCAAATCGCGGAAAAACAATCGGAAATTGAGATGATTACCTTTCGGAACTGAGATTGTCGTCTGAGTCTCCAATGCCCAATTCGAAGTTGGGATTTTGACCGTGGAATTTGGCTCGCAGCTCTGAAATTTGGGGATGTTCACGCATACGTAACCTACACAATTCAACCCCAAGAGAGAGAAGAGAGGGGTAGCTATTCGGTTTCCCACCAGTTCACCCTACTTATTTTCCTTCACAATCGCAACCCATCCCAGTTTTTTTATTTTATTTCCCTTTTTTCAAAAGAAAAAAAAATAGAAAACTAATTAATTACTATTTATTTTATTTCCATCCAATGGCCCAGGTTGAGACACGTGTTGAAGCCGTTGGGATTTAATTTCAATTTTTTTACCGTTGAAAATCCAACAGCCCAAAAATATAGTCGTTGAAAATCCAACGGTCCAGAACATCCCTTGTCAAATGTTGTTATCAATCCATAGAGAGTCAATTTTAAGAGAGTCTCATTTGTATTTCTCATTACAAATTTTCATTAGTGTTGAGGATTATTTTTGGGAGTTTAAGTTGTATGATAAGCTTTGTGCATGCATACCATAAATAGAAAGCAAGAGAAATAGTTTTTGTGCCAGACGTTAATTTCATGCAACTCGTAATTTTTTTTAATGAAATGATACTTTGTAATAAATTATTCAAATATACAGAGAAAAGAATTCAAACTCAAGATTACAAGGGCAAACAAATTACTTTGGCCAACTGATCTAACCAACATTTGCAAGTTGACTTAGGTTCAAATGTCACAATCTTGACTCTCAACTGTTTTTTTTATTTTTAATATATATATATATATATATATATATATATACACACTACAATTGATGCCATATTTGCACATATGAAGTTTGTAAAGTCATGTGCCATTTATGCCTATCAACGCACACATACAACCTAACCTTTTCAAATTACTAATGTCTTCATGCACAAGCAAACAATACAGTCACATCGTTACACAATATTATAACTAAATGTTAATATTCATGGACGATAAGATTGATAAAAATGAGTGGTATGCTAAAAGCACTTCAAACACAAACATTTGTGAGCATAAGTACTTCCCACGCCGCCTCATTCTGATCTTGATGAATTGGGCTATTTGCGTGGTCGTGTTGTACTGAAGTAAATAGTTCGTACTCAGCCGCTTCTTAATCTCAACGTGGTTATACAAAAATCTTAAATGCTCCAATGTACTTAGTATTACGGATGTTTGAACCGCTAAATCTTAGTATTTATATTTTTAAATAAAGCACTCTCTGTATTTTATCCGGTACTCCGGAGCACCCTATTGTGTAGATTCCTGCGGCTGAGCTCATGATGTCTCAATGGTTGTCAAGATTCTCATGACAGAGACCAACGACCAAACTCGCTTATTTTACCGGCATGTGTACTAAACTAACATATTCTTACATTGACTTTTGACAAGCAATGTTCTAAAATGCTTTTAGTAGAAAGGGGAGGATTTGGATCTCGATACAGAAAGATGAGTACGCTATTCTAACCAACCACAACAATATTGCACTAAATTGTAAATAAACTCAGTGACTCAAACAAAACTACCAACCGTGGACGTAACCCAACTCGGTTTTAACACTGTAGATGGAAAATTGACATCGACTGGTGACGGTGTCAACAGTATATGTTTAACATTTGAGAACATGTGTGCGGAATATATGTCACAAGAATGTCAACCACAAACACGTACTACTTCACCAATTAAAAGTGACTAATACAACATGTTAGATCATGATCAAAGAATAAATATACATTAGTAATACATGATCAAGGAATAAATATACATTAGTAATATGACAGGTGAAAGGAATCCTAAAATAATTACAATAAAGAATTACATTCCTATAATTACGGAGAAGGTTTCAGATTAACTAAATCTATTACAATCACCTGTAAGTCATCGTGATTGTAATCATACCTAATAATGATCCTATATTTCAAATGACGTATCAAAATAAGTAAATACTTTTAACCAGTTAAGTTATATGTAAAAGAGCGCACAACTCTACTAATCTAAACTACGCAAAAAAGAATTCAAACTTATGTGCAAATAAGAAAGTACACAGCTCTAGTCAACTTGATTATGCCCGAGCTTGCGTCAAAAGTTGTTTCTACAAAGTATTCGTACTTCAAATTCAAGAACAGAGTGCAAATTTTTGGAAAAAACATAGGAGTAACTGCGCCAGCCGCCAATTGGTGCAGGAGAAAATGAAATGTGGGAGAACAAGAATAAAATTTCAAGCTCAAACCCCCTTTTAGAGAATAAGAATACGAAGAAGAAGAATCCAGAGGAATATGAATATGATCAGACGAAAATCAGCATAACCCAAAAACAGAAAGTAAAATAGTGGAGAATTTGGAGACACAATCTTTTTTTTTTGCCTTGCCTTCTAATATTTCAACATTCTAAGACAAGTTACCTTCCAGATCCACAGCAGTGGGGCCCACAAGGAAACCCTCCATCCAAGACTTGTTTAGTTCTTTCTCAAGAAATTTCACCACATACAGCAAGCCCTAACTAAGGCTAACCGACATTCACCTCTCCCAGACCCTGCGTAAAGCGGGAGCCTTGTGCACTGGGCACGACCTTTTTTTTTTGTTTTAAGTTTTATGAGTTAATTAAGCATGCAAATGTCGAAACATTCATTAAACATTTACAACAACAACAATTCCGGCAACGCTCAACAACAGTTAACATGACCAGGAAACCAAAAACCATGAAGAAATTTGTTTCTGCTTCGATACATGCACTTAGCAGTTTGTTTCTCTACTAGTTTTAGGGATTAATGGTACCGAAACCATTTGCAACTGCTGAGGCATGCAGGCGATGCAGATATAGCCATGGATGTTATTCATCAGAAGAGCTTCTTCGGTGCTTCATTGGACTACAATATGCAGACAGTTACATGTCAAAAAACAACTTATTAATAATTAAAACTTGGTAATAAATAATAGAAACAAGGCCCCTCCTTGCATATCATAAGCTGCAGATACATCAGGCAAGATGTTTATACACAGCAGAACTATTAATCTATAAGATTCTTACTACATTGAGTTTTTCCATGGGCGTAAACATGTGCTACCTATATCACCACATTCTAAATGGGACAGGTGGGAGGAGTAACCTACTTCCATGGCCACTACAAGTTGAAACAAATATCCTGACCACCCAATCAAGAAACGCCAGCTAACCATAATTAAACTTCTGGAAATGGTTGTAAGAGCACTTGGATTCATCACAAGATTTAACTAGCATTTCAATCACAGTATGAGAAGACAAGAAAACCTGATTACCATACACTTCTAACTTAAAAACCATAAGAATGGATGGAAGCAGAGCATACCTCATCAGTTAGAAAGTTGAGCACAAGTAAACCCCTCAGAAACAAGTTGATTAATTGCGTCTCTGAACTTGTAATAGTCATCAACTTTGTTGTACACTTGATGAGAAATTCGACAATACCCATTTATTGACTCAACCTCCCCATTCTTGGGTGGTCGGAAATAAATCGGAACTTCAACACCAAACTTCTCCCTCAAATGTATCCTTAACTCCTCAGTATCCTTCTCACTCAAGATCCCCAAGCAAGCAGGCAACCCAATCATGATCATACTGGCGCACATCTCTGAAGGGCACCCGAGATGCGTTCCCCATGCATTGGCCAACATCTGCCCCATCTCAACAACAGTCTCATGATTCCTCTTCTTGATCCCCTCAATACCTCCTTCGAACCTATTGATGAATTCCAAAACTGAAGGCACTACCAATTGCGGGCTATAATCCCTATTCCCAACCGAAGCACTTTCTATAGCCAACCCATTACCATACTCATGGGAAACAACAGGATGGTGCAACTCTGGGCACTTGGGAGACTTCCTACAGTACAAAAACGCAATAGACGGGGGGCAAAAGAACCACTTATGCAAATTACTAGTATAATAATCCGCCCCAATTCGCTTCATATCGACATCAGTACACCCGATACCATGAGCAGCATCTACAAAAATCTGATCAACATCCTCTTCCCTACAAATCTTAACTAATTCTTCAACAGGTATAACAACACAGGGCATTGAAGTAATATGATCAATCACAGCTAACCTAACCCTCCTACCATTAGCCTTCCCTATCACCAAAGCTTTCTTAAATTCAGAGATAATTTCATCATTTGATTTCAAAGGAAAAGGCAAAGGGACTTCAATCACATACCCGCCGGCACGCGTCACGTACGCCTCAATCGACTTCTTCACGGCGCCATAAGCGTAATGAAGCATCACCACAGCATCACCTTTGCCGAATTTGCTCTCCGAAAACCCCCAGGCCGTCTGCTGAAGCACGATGGCGGCGGCGGTGGTGGCGTTGTCGACGAGTGAGACCTCGTCGACATGGTCGGCATTGATGAGCTCCTTGATAATGGTTCTGGAACGGTGGATTCCCTTCTTGAGCTCGTTGACGTAGAAATGGTCGGGCTGGGCGAGGTTTTTGAGCTGCCACCGCCGCTGGGCTTCGATCAAGGAGGCGGGGCAGGAGCCGAAGCTGCCGTTGTTGATCCGAGCGACGTTCGGGTCGTGGTGGGAGAATTCGGCGGCGATTTCGGCGGCAGTGATGAAATTTGGGGAAAGTTTAGGTTTTTTGGAGATGTGGGTTTTGGTGTCGCCGTTGATGTGGTGGTCCGGCGAGGAGGCCATTTGGGAATTTAGGGTTCGGAGGTTGATGAAGCTGAGGAAGAGCGTGAAACGTTCAAGAGTGAGAGCGTGAGAGAGAGAGAGAGAGTGAGGGGAGTGAATAGTCTGAGCCTTCGGGAGCGCGAAAGGGGACAGAGAGAAATTAATCAAGACTTTGGTGGTTAAATTATAAATTAATTTGGGGGTGAAATTAGAAATTAGGAAAATTGTAGGTGGCGCCAAATAAAGCGCACTCGCTCGATGACTCGACTGACCATTTCCATTTTGTTTGTTTTAGCTCACGTGACACGCACGTGATTTTCCAACCTCCGGTTTAGTAGTTCCTTTCTTTGCACAGTTACTTCTTTCTTGATTTTCTTGTGATTAGACTAATTGCGTTTCCCTTTTAGTCTAAATCAAGAGAAATGCTCACGAGATTTTTTCAAAGCAGAACTTTTGATAAAATCTCTAACACCTCATATTCTAAAGTTAATCACCATGTCAATATTATAAAATATT